TTCATTCAATAAATATTTGTATGGCTTCTACCATGAGCCGGGCCATGGTTCTAGGAACTGGGGATATAATAATAAACAAAACAGACAAAAATCCCTGCCCTCTTGGAGTTCTAGTTTGATACATAGGTAATACAACAAGATAGCTCCTATAAACATGTTAGCAGGATATAAGGAGAAGAAAATAAAGCAGGGAAAGGGACTATGAAATGTCAGGAAGAAGGAAAAGTATTGAAATTTTAGATTAGAGTGACCCAGGAAGACCTCACCAAGGAGTGACTTTTTTATTTATTTATTTATTTATTTATTTATTTATTTATTTATTTAGTCCTGTTTGAGTCCGGCCGCACTGTGCTCAGCCAGTGAGCGCTGTGAGCGCACCGGTCATCCCTATATAGGATCCGAACCCCGGGAGCACTGCTGCGCTCCCAGCGCTGCACTCTCCCGAGTGCGCCATGGGCTCGGCCCTAAGGAGTGACTTTTGAACAGTGATCTGGAGGAAGTAAAGGAGCTAGCCCTGAGGTTGGTGAGGTAAGAGAGCTCTAAACAAGGAATAAGCAAGGGCAAAGGCCTTGAGAGGTAGGTGTCCCAGTGAGGAAGTCAGTGTGGCTGGAGTGGGGGTAATGAGGGAGGGAGTAGCGGGAGGTGAAATCAGAGAGGTAGCAGAGGACCTGGGTCATGTAGACTTGTAGGTTCTAGTAAGGTCTTTGGTTTTTACTTTGAATGAGATGGGAAAAGTTGGAATGATTTGAGCAGAGGAGAGACATAATCTGATTGAGGTTTTAACAGGATCAAGTTGGCTGCTTTAGCGATGCTAGATGTAGGAGGACAAGAGTAGAAGCAGGAAGATCAGTTAAAAGGCTATTCTAGTAATTCAGGCTAAAGATAATGGTGGCTTGGATCAGGGTGGTGGCAGCGGAGGTGGTATAAAATGGTCACACTCTTGATATATTTGACAATATAGCTGACAGGATTTGTTGACAGATTGAGCATTAAAGAGAAGATTAAAAGGTGACACCAAACTTTCTGGCCTGAGCAATAGAAGAATAGAGTTGCCATTAACAGAGATTAGGAAGATGATGGGAAGGGCTGGGTGGGGAGTATCGGGAACTCAGTTTTGGACCTGGTAAGTATGAAATGTCTAATTAGACTTCCGTGTAAAAATGTTAAGTAGACAGTTAAATTTTGGTTCTGAAGTTTAGGGGGAAAGTTCTGGCTGGAGATGTTTTTGGTAGTCATATGTGTATAGATTGCACTCATAGCTGAGAGGTTTTTTTATGATTATGCAAATTATGGGAATAATTTAACATAACTGATAATGTGACCTTGAAGATTTTAAACTTCAGGCTTTAAACAATACCAGCAAAATGGAGTATGCATTAAGCAAATGTCAGAACACACAAATAAATATTCCATAAGCAATTTCAGGTGATATGTAGATAAAGATATGCCAAGAGATATCATACAAGGGGAAAATTATCTAGTCTTTGCCATGGGCCGGGTGCTTAGGTCCAGGTATTCCAGTGCCAGTTTTATTCTGAGGAATCTGAGTTTTCATGAGTTAGTTTAATGAATGTGAAGCAAACCTGGGACTGGAACCCAGGTGTGTCTAATCCTAAAGCTCATGCTCTTCTTACTCTGTCCACACAAATCAAGTGTGCTCTTGACTTCCACCAGCTATCATGTGTCCATGTAGAGTAGTATAAAATTGAGCATTGGACAAGGGTTGTGAGACCTGAGTTTGAATCTTAAGTTTGCCAAGCTGAATGATTTGGGCAAGCCTTTTAACTTCTCTGGACATTAGTTTTCTCATCTATAAAAGGGTTGTAATTATACCTATCTCATAGGGTTGTTATAACAATCAAATGTGAAAGAGTTTATAAACTCTAAACCACTCTATGCATGTGTAGAGTTAATAATACTAGGAGATGATTTATTTACAATAGCATCAAGAATAAAATACTTAGAAATAAATTTATCAAAAGAAATGCAAGCCTTATACACTGAAAACTAAAAAACATTGTTGGAAGAAGTTAAAAATCTCCTGCTTTAGATGGAAAGACATCTCATGTTCATGTATTGGAAGAGGTAATACTATTAAGAATGCAATACTCCTCAAATTGATCTACAGATTCAACACAATCCCTATCAAATCCCAGCTGGCTTTTTTATGGTAATTGACAAACTGATCTTAAAATTCATATAGGAATGCAAGGGGCTCAGAATAGCCAAGACAATCTTGAAAAGGAAGAACAAATTTGAAGAACTCACACTTCTGATTTGAAGCTTATTACAAAGCCACAGTAATCAATGCAGTGTGATACTAGCATAAGGATAGATATATAGGTCTATAGATAGAAGAGTATTTAATCCAGAAGTCAATCTTTATATGTATGGTTAGTTGATTTTCAACAAGAGTGCCAAGACAATTGAAGAAAGAATAGTTTTTTCAACAAATGATGCTGGGAAAACTGAACATCCACATAAAAAAGAATGAAGTTGGATCTCTGTTTTTTACCATGCAAAAAAATTTAACTCAAATTAGAGCAAAGGCCTAAATGTAAGAGCTAAAACTATAAAACTCTGAGAAGAAAACAGAGGAATAAATCTTCATGACCATGGGTTAGACAGTAGTTTCTCAGATACAATACCAAGAACATAAACAACAAAGGAAAAAAATAGATAAATTGGGCTTTGTGAAAAACTTCTGTGCTGCAACTTATACTATCAAGAGTTAAAAGACAGTCTACAGAATGGGAGAAAATATTGGCAAATCATATATTTGATAAGGGACTTGCATCCAGATTATATAACGAGCTCTTACAACTCAAAAAGATCTATAACCCAATTAAAAAATGGTCAAGGATCTGGACATTTTTCCAAAAAAGATCTCCAATGCCATAAGTCCTTTGGGAAATGCAAACTAAAACCACAATGAAGTACCATTTCACACCCAATAGAATGGCTATAATAAAAAAGACAGATATAATAACTGTTGGTGAAATTAAACCCTCTTATATTGCTAGTGGGAATGTAAAATGGTGCAGCAACTTTGGAAAGCAGTCTAGCAGTTCATCAAAAGGTTAAGTTATCATTTGTCCCAGAAATTCCATTCCTAGGTATATAGAGAAGTGAAAACATGCATCCACACAAAAACTTGTAGGTGAATGTTCATAGGAACAATGTTCATAATAGCCAAAAAGTGGAAACCACACAAACATGGTATATTCATATAATGGAATATTATTTGGCAACAAAAAAGAGTGATGTGCTGATTCATGCTACACCATGGATGAAACTTGAGAACATTATGCCAAGTGAAAGAAGCCAGCCACAAAAGACCACCTGTTACCTAATTATATTTATGAAATGTCCAGGATAGTTAAATCTATAGAGACAGAAAGTAGATTAGTGGTTGCCTGGGACTGTGTGTAAGAGGCCATGTTGGGGGGCAGGGGGATGAGGAGTGACTGCTGATGAGCATAGGTTTCTTTTGGGGTGATGAAAATGTTCTAAAATTAATTGTGGTGATGGTTACACTGTCGGGTCCACCGCCGGCCGACCCGAACAGCCTTAGCCTCGTTCCTTTTGGTAGGTGAGCGAATGGCCCAGATTCCTCTTTCCCTCCGGTCCCCTTTGGAAGGTGACGGGGGAAGAGAGCCGTGAAGAGAGGTGAGCACACCACCGCCCCCAACCAGCCCAGTTAAAGGACACTCAGATGTGGCGGGGGTTCTGTCAAGCAGTTCCGTTTATTATCACACAGGCACTTGCTTTTAAAGGCAAATGGGGAAGGGAGGTTTTTTACATAATCCTATCAGCTTAAAGGTCAAGGGCATGCATCCTGTCTCAATGCCTAGCTATTGCAACCACACAGTGTTCACGAGTGCGGAAGCGCATATTTGGCCAATAAGGGTTCCCCCACCCTACTTCCTCCTGGCGCCGTCTTAGGCTGCCACATTAATATGCCCTTGTGGGCCCATAATGGCGCCGCTTGTAATGTCACTTAAGGTGGCATTAGTTTTTAAGGCCTGACAGTTACACAAATCTGAACATACTAAAAACCATTGAATTGTATATTTTAAATGGGTAGATTCTGTGGTAGATGAATTATATCTTAACAAAGCTGTTCAAAAATATTATTAGAGATGCTGTCTGTGGTTGTATTTGTTTTTTTATTCAGCTAAACTAAACAGCTTCTTTCAATGACGGATACTGTTTACATCATTCTAAAATATGTTGTGTGAAACAGTGAACTAATAACCTAGTAGCATTTCCTTAACTTTAAAGGTACTGTACAATGAGGATCTTTGAGTAATGTGCAAGTTTTCTGATTCCAGATCCTGGGGACTTTTTTCAGTTCTACCACCGTATTTCCCAAAGTTCTGTACTATATTGAACAAAAAATGCAGGTTTCTTTCTTTCTCTTTTTTTTAAGAGAGCTAAGAGGTAATTGCTTTTTTTAGACACGGAGTTTTTTTTTTTTTTTTTTTTTAAATCAGTTTGGTAGTTGGGTTCTAGGAAAGAAGAAAAACAGCACTAATTGAGAGACTCATATGTTCCTGACACTTGTGTTTGTTGAATATCTCCACATGCACTATCTGGGTTAATCCTTACAACAACCTGATGAAGTAGGCCTTGTTATTTCTATTTTACAAATGAGAAAACTGAGTCAGGTAATTTACTTCATCTAGCTTTTCGAATGATGAAGCTGGGATTGGAATTCAGGCTTCTAAATTCCAAGTCCCAGTATAGTCAAGGTTGATTGATAGTGGGGCTTCACCTTTAGTCTTGTGGTCCTATATTTTTTCACCTGGTTGCAGAAATATTGTAAACTCCAGTATGAATCACATTTCTATATGAAAAATTAGATGCTCAGATCAAATTCCCCAGATTATAAATTTGTAATTTTAGGTGTTATGCATATTATAGATTTCTCCATTTTATTTGAGCATAGATATAAAAAACTAACAATCTTACTTTTTTCTTCTTTCCCTCACTTGCAGCAATGGTGAACTAGACCCCTGGTCAGGAGGTGGAGTGACCAAGGACATCACAGACACCTTGGTGGCAGTCACCATCTCAGAGGGGGCCCATCATTTAGATCTTCGAGCCAACAATGCCTTAGATCCCATGTCTGTGCTGTTAGCCCGCTCTTTGGAAGTTAAACATATGAAGAAGTGGATTAGAGAATTCCAAGAGAGTGTGGAAAAGCAGCAATGAGTGACTTTTTATCATTTTCAGTTTCTTGTTTTATGTTCTCTCCACCCGCATTCCCATTTACTTTGGTTTTTATATGTAATTACTTTCCTTCTCATTAGATTTGGTGGGGCCCAGGTTGAGATAGAAGAGAGTGATGGTAGTGAGAGCAGCCATCCTACATGTGTGATTTCTGGGGTCCTTGCTGTGTTTGTGCCATCTCCAGGAAGAATCTCTTCATGACAGCTCTCCCACACCATCAGTGGCTCTCATAACCGGAGCAGAGTTCCTGACTGCTTTTCATAAGACAGAGAGTCACTTCCTTTGTTTCTCTGCAAGCAGGGATTTCTCTTTGGTTTTGAGGTTGAAGTCTCTTTGGCCCATTTGTAATTCCCCACTCCTACTCTCCAAAAAAAGAAAAGCAGTAGATAAGAATGATGAAATTGCAGCTGGTAGGAAGGATGTCCGATGCCAATTCAGGAAATGGCAGCCATTTCTTTTGTACTTGATTTAATGACTTTGGACTATGCTGTAAATAAAGAATAAGGCTGGACCTTATACCTGTGTGTTGCTTTTGAAACTCACTCCAGCTGTTGGGAATGCAGTGTGTACTGGGCTTGGCTGTTTTTGTAAAGTCTTTTAATTTCCTCTCTTCTACTTGGCACCTTTTCTTAGTTCTGGGATATTTGCCACTGTGGTACTGCCAGTAAGAAATCTGGCCTTTTTCTGCTCTATTTCTCTTTGTTTCTAGGTCAGTGTAGTGGGAATTTGGTTAAATTCTGCCAATTTAGGAAAATGACTCTGTTTTGCTTTTTACTTTAAATCTGGACAAGTTTTGTGCTATGATCACTGATGATTCCTCAGTAAGAAGCCTTTAAAAATTGATGAATCATCTATTCAGAAAGTAGAATATAATTATATTTGGCTTTAAGAAAAACATTTTTATTTTCTGGTGGTTGTTAATGCTGTCAGTAAAGCCAGAGTGTGAGGACACTAAGAGGCAGGTGCAAGAGAACTTTTCTGTATGACTTGCAAAAGACAAGCTGACTAATTCATGCAGGCAGCATATTTGACATTAATAAATGGCTGAGCCGTTTCTATTTCCAAGGGGTTGGCTTCTTTCAAGCAGTTCTTACACTGAAACCTTTCTTTAGAAGAGCTTTTCTAGGATAACAAATAGGGTTGGATCAAAACCTTTCAGGGACACAGAGAGAGACTAACCATTTCTACTCTGTTGAAAGATTTCTTCCTCCTTGTTTCTTTTACTTTCAATATTTTTTTTTTCCTTTGCCCTGCCTTGGGAACATTTTCTGCTTTTTAAAAACTACCTTGAGCTTGATTACTTCTAAAGTACTTATTTTTTTAAAGTGCAGATATAGAGTTCATTCTTGGGTGGGAGTCTGAAATATTTCTCTTATTTTCCCTGGCATCTGGGAGATACAGGAAAATCTTTGTCTTGTTTTGGAAGCCTTCAGTTCTCATTGTAATGAGTTGTCCATCAAAGCATTTGGTCACTATTTTTGTTTCAGCATCAGAGAACAGTCTATTGGGGTGGGAATTAAGGGTCAAAATAATACTAGTTTTTATTCTTTGTAAACTAGGAAGTTATGTAATGTAGGGTTTATGGGCTTAGTAGAGTATATTCTTACTATTTATTTTAGGATTTTAGGACGTTGTCCATGAAGCCTTTTTACTTGTTGAGAATCCTTAAAACATTTTGCTATTTCTGATTGTTTGGATAAGTTTAATTTTTTTTGAAGAAACTAATTCCTTAAAAAAAGACTGTATTTTTGCAAGTATAATTTGGTTCTGTTACTACATATATACGTATATGTTTTATATATATATATAGACAGCAGCCTTAACTGAAGTCAGCCTAATTACAATATGCTAAAAGTTAGTTTTAATTTGAAAAAGAATAGGAACACCAAGTAAGCCTTATTATTGAAAACACCCCTCTAAGCAATAGACTGTTGCTTTTAACAGACAGGGAAAGAGACACATAGAGAATTGGGATATGATTTATTTTCTGTTTTTGTTACTTTCACTGCTGGGAGTCAATGAGTAGAAGTAAAGAAACTTAGGGAACTTTCTTAGGGAATATGTAGAGACAAGAGATTATCCAGAGCCAATGTCTAGGTCAGCATATTAGAGGGTGAAGGTACCTCAGATATCCAGTCCAGTCCATATTTTTTTGTGGCCCAGAGAGAAGGGACTTGGTCTAAGGCCTTGCAGTTCATTTTTGGTAGAACTGGGGCTTGTAGACAGATTCTGTTTGTTTTACTTTACTGGTATACTTTAATATTTGTTTGGATTCAAGCAACAAAACCCCACCAAACCAGCTTTAAGAAAAGAGGGAATTTATGAAACCACGTGAGAATAGTTCTAGGACTTGGGCTACTATGAGTCATGTGGAAATGGAACTAGGGTCTAAAAAGTCATTAAAAGTCAAAACTGCTACATTCTTCTGTTTCTCTCACTTTCAACAGAGGTTACCTGTTGTTGGCCTGTGTGTTAGATTTGTTCCTCAGATGTTTATAGTTTGGCCAGCAGTCTAAAGTGTGCATCAGAATTACCCAAAGGGCTTGTAAAAATACTGATTGCTGACCCCATCTCAGAGTTTCTAATATGTTGAGATGAATCTTGGGAATTTGCATTTCTAAGTTCTCAAGTAATGCTGGGGGATCACACTTGGAGAACCACTAGTTGAAAGAATTCTGAATTTGAATTTCTTCTGACTAGGCATGCTCCATGAGTTCACATTTCTACTGTTTTCCTGCCCGACCCATTTGAGTATGAGAGTTCTGCATAGGTCTTCTCTTCCCTCTTTCATTCTCTCTCTGCAAACCAGCTTCCTCTTCTCTACATGCACATGACTGTTTTCATTCTCTCTCTGCAAACCAGCTTCCTCTTCTCTATAGGCCCATGATGACTTCCCAGAATGGTGTCCTCAGCCCCCTTAGAATGCACTGCCTCACAAGTCCACAACTCTCAGGTGGTTAGGGAATGGCAGGGAATGGTTATAGAGATACAGTTGTTAGGAGGGAGGGGGTGTGGTTCAGGGAACTTAATCACACAGTATCACACAGTGTTTTTTGGAACACGGCTGTCAAACAAAATACCAATAACTCTCAGGTGGTTAGGGAATGGCAGGGAATGGTTATAGAGATACAGTTGTTAGGAGGGAGGGGGAGTGGTTCAGGGAACTTAATCACACAGTATCACACAGTGTTTTTTGGAACACGGCTGTCAAACAAAATACCAATAACTTATATGTAGTATAAAGGTCCATAATTGGGCGAGTTTGGAAAATGATGGGATAAACAAAGTTAAATAGTTGTTTTGTTTGTTATCTGTAGATATGCATTGTGACTCCCCAAAATGGTAATCAAGAATGCAACTTTTCCTACTTTTATTTATTAGCCATCTACTAGGCATAATGTATTGTTCCAGAACTTAGAAAATACAATGGTGAAAAAGCAAACATAGTACCTGTTCTAATAAGGTTTACATTCTTATGTGAGAAAGACATGAACTGTCAAGTTATAAAAATAAATTTGTATAATTATAAGTGCTGTAAAGAGTTGAGGCTATCAGGTTAGAACATTTAGCAGGGAATCTGAGCTAGTCTGTGGAAATATCAGAATGCTTTTTTGAGATGTAACTTTTTCAGCTGTGATCTAAAGATGAATGGGAGCTATACTAGGAAGAAGAGTGGAGAAAATGGTATGTGCAAAAGCCCTGAGTGTAGTGTATTCAAGGAACTGAAAGAAGGCCACTGCAATGGGACAGCACACAACTGTAGAGAAAGTGACATAAGATGAATCTGGAGACATGGGCAAGGGGAATGTTCATTCAAATAGACCATGATACAGAGTCATTATGAGAATGGGAAACCATTGGTGAGCCTTAATCAGGGGAGTGACAAGAACTGTTTTTCATTTGAAAGGATCACTTTGGCTATAGAATGGAGTATGCATTGCAGGGGGCAAGCAGGTAATGTAGGAGACCACTGTTGCAATGCAGTTGTCCAGGTAAGAGAAGAGGGTAGCTTTGACTGGAATGGTAGAGATGGAGATGAGAAGTGGATGCATTTGAGATTTAGCAAGTAAAGTAAATGGGATTTGGTGATGGGTTCTACATGAGATACGAGTTGGGCAGGTATCAAGGTTGGTGACTTCTGGTTTGTGCACTTGGATAGATGGTGGTGCCACATACTGGAGAAGGAACATCAGAGAGACTGGGTTTGGCAGAAAGATTGAGTTCAGTTCAATTTTGTCATGGCGAGCTTTATGTACTTTTGAAATAACCAAGTAGAGATAGCTGTGAAGCAGGGCTATTGGATATAAAGATCTGGAACTTAGTCTGGGCTGGAGTGTCATGGTGAGTAGATAACAATCAAAACATGGACTCAAGGAACTAGTGTTTAAGAAACATACTTCAGGGGCTGATACTATACTGTCGCTACCATGATACTTTTAAAAGGAATCCCCAAACATCCTAATTCCCCTACATAGGACTCCACTGATCCAACCCACCACTTGAGCTCTGGTATAGCCTTTACTTCAACTGGAGTCTACCTCTCTGAACTCATTTCTCATTCTTACTGCCACCCTTCACTTTCCTAATACCCTGCACTAAACCTCATCATCCTAAAATACTGCTCTTCTGTCTAAAATTTCTTTCTCAGCAACATCCTCCAATATTTTTTCACTGGAAAGTTTCTGTGCACCTTTTAAAGCCCAGATCAATTTGATGACTTCTCCTGTGAAGTCTTTCCTAGTTTTCCTAAAGGAAGGCATTCCTTCTCCCTGCTCTCACAGAACCAGGTTGATACCTAGTATATCAGCTAGAATGGAAACTCCATCAAGGTAGAGATTGTCTGTCTTCATCTCCAGCACCTTAAACAGTACCTGACCACGTTTAACTTAGTATACATTCCCTACATTGTAATATTTTGCTCAATGTTCTCATCCTTTTTTTAGGAAAACCAAGCTCTATGAGGGCAGGGACTATGTTTTATTCCATGTAGTAACTGGCATTTAGCATGGGTCCTGGCAACCAGGTCTCAGTCGGCCCTCCGTAAATGTATATTTAATGAATACGTTACAAGGTGGAAAGACCAGGCTTTCTATTCATCTCTTTCTATAGCCAACCACCTTTCACTGCCATGATGTGCTGACTTGACCTCCTGCCCTTGGCTTCCCTGGATTTTGGAAAGCAGATCTAGTACTCGGTACCTCTGGAACTTAGACTGTCCGATTTACTCTTACTTCAACTGCATGTGCTCCTGGATCCCTCTCACACTCCATCAGCCTGGTACTCTTTGTCAAAGGAGATGAAAGTAATGCAGCCTTCATGTTAGATGAGAAGAAGACACTGACCAGAAACAGCCATTCAAGAAATAAAGGAAGGGGCTGGTTCCTTAACAATGGGGATGAGAAGATAGAAGCTTACAATAGCAGAGCTGGAAACAATCTTGGGATCATTTAGTTGTATGTGTGTGTTTAACATGGCTAACATCTTTAACAAGACATTCAGACCTGGAGTGTGAAATT